CTAGAGGCCGAAGAGGGTGGCCCTAAACCGAGGCGCGTTAGGGACATTCAAACTCGGGACTCGATGATTCTTGAAAACTTTGCGCCATTTAGAGCGAGGCGTCGTGGAAGAAGCGGAACATACAGGATATCGGAGCAAGGTGACAACTACTTGGTAGGGAGGGGACGCGTCCTAACTGGTATTAAAGCGACGGTGCACATTTGCCACCCAAAACCCAGAACCCTGGCGAACTGTTACTGCAGATGAAAAGTGTCTGCACGAAATCCTGGTTTTCGCCAGCCAACACTTTCGCGCTGGCAAGCCTGGTTCAAAAAAAAAACTTCTGAACCCAACACTGCCAAAAGTTGCCCGTCGCTTTAACATGGATGTACGAGACTTGCCAAAATCATCAAACTCACCTCGCAAGAAGTTTTCGCGAGTTACTCCTTGACGTGTTGTGATTTGATGGTGAACCACGGTTCAGGTTTCGCGAATCCACAACATCAATTTCGACGTCGTTCATTTCGACAGGGAGGGGAGCAAGCAGCTGTCGTTATCGGGTATACGTTTAGGCTAGCTCGCCAAGGTTACCAAAGACGGTTCCGTGTGCAGAAGCCTGACGAATTGCTTGTGCGAAATTCGTCGATGCCATTTTCATCAGTCCACCACCTGGGCTGCGTTCTGCGGCCGCATCAGAGCCTGATGCGCCCACGCTCGGCAAATTGACAAATTGAGGCTCGGTAATGTCCAATTTGAATTTGGAAAATGGAGGTTCGGAAAATGCACACGCAGGTTCGGGAAATCAGAAATTGGGGATTTCGAATTTCGGGCATGTCAAATTTCGATCCCAAAATTCCGACGAATGCCAGGGTGTTGATCTTTCATCGAAGTGGGGAAGCACGCACCTGGCGCCTTCCCCACACGCATGATGCGCTGTTCAATTGCCCCAATTCGAGCTGATGCGCGCATCATGCGCGTTCTCGGCGTTGCATCATGCGCGCGTCGGGGAAAATTGAGATTGCTAGGAAGATGAACTTCTCGGAAAGCGGTAACATGGAAATTTGTGGGTGCAAAAGAGGCCGTTCTGCAGGCATTCGGGGATGGTTTGCCTCGGCAGCCAAGCGCTTATCGCGAGCCTTGATAAACCGCTGGCTGGTTATCAAGGAAGGCTCCTGGAACGTTGTAAAAAAATTCCAATGTACATTGATCCGGGCAGATGCGGCCGCAGAACGCAGCCCTGCCTAGTTTTCTCCACCAGCCCTGTCTTTCGTTGCGTAAAATGTTGAACAGGGGAACAGCTGCGCCTCACGCGTTACTGCCAGTGAGCATGAGCGATAACAGAGATCCGGGAAAAATCACCAACCCCGACAGTTTTCGGATTTGTGACAAATCGGTCGACCACTCGTGCTCCACGTCAGCACTATTTCGAATTCCAAAACTCCGATCGACCCTATATTAGGGTACGTTCCTGGCGCGTGTCAAGCTTCCGGTCATCCGCGGATGACCGGAAGTTAGACCCACTTTGGGTCATCCGAGACCAACTTCGGGTCTTCCGGCCAAAAATTGCCCCTGTTTCCGGAAAACACAAAGTTTGAGAGGAACTTTAACCCTAAGCTTCGGGTCTTTCCGGGAGGGCCCAAAGCTTGACACCAGCCAGGAACGTACCCTTAGCTTACGCGGTAAAGTATAATGTTTTTCGGTTGGTGTTGAGTGTGTCACCTCAGGTACGTAACTTTGTCGGAGTTGGTTTAGGTTATTCCTCTTTAACGTCCCGCATGAATTTGTTTTTGTCGTGAAGCAGGTCTGCACAGTACATACGACGGTGTCGAGCAGGTTGGGTTTAGAGATTGCGATTTGGTCCGATTTGGTCCTTCCAGCATTCAATGCCACCTAGCGCGGGAAAAAAGGCCGACGCTACCGACTGAGTCAGCATTCTGACCGCGGGCAAAAAAAATAAACCCATGGCTTACGGCATGCCATTCGGGAGCCTCAACCCTAAAATTTTAGGGTTGAGGCTCCCTCGGATGGCATGCCATCCGAGTGGGTTTTAGTTTTTTTTCTTGCCCGCGGTCAGCTTGCTGACTCGATTGCACTGCCTGCGTAAGCAGGCAGTGCAATATATTACCCAAAACGCGACAGACTCTACCACCCACATACCTACGAAATTCGAGGAACCCTAACGCCGAAGTAACACTTGCGTTAGATGTCAGATTATGTTATTTGTCTAGCCTGCAGTGGGGTGCTCAATAGTGAGTACAACCCCTTTAGGGTTTCCTATTTGTACCAACCTGCTTGCTAGTTCAATCATCCTCCATTCTCTCTTCTCCAATTCTCCTTCGTATACCCCAAACCCTAGCTCTAGGGCACAACCTACCTACTCTATGTGTGGGCCTAGGCTACTAAGCCTAGGCCCCACTCCTAGTATTCCTGACATGGTATCTAGAGCGAGCACGTTCCTGCCGCTTACCTCAATGGGCCCACCACCTTACTGCTTCCGCTGCTACTGCTACTCTGTGTGTTGCACGCCCCGAGGCGTGCGACGGATTTTTCATCCCGCCGCGCGCTCGGAGCGTGCGGCGGTTTTCTGCCCGCCGTGCGCCCCGAGGCGCACGGCGGTTTCTTTCTGCCCCGTCACTCCGCGCATCGCCCCCGGGAGGCGCTGCGACGGGCGACGGGGACCCGCGCGTCGCCCCCCGTCGCCCGTCGTGGCCCACGCGACCTACGTCGGGCCCGCGCGCGGCCCGTACGGGCTGCGCCAGGCCCGCGCGCGGCCCGTACGGACTGCGCCAGGCCAGCCCGCGCCTCGAGTCGCCCGCCACTGCAGCAGCCGCCCCTGGAGCCGCCCGCCACTGCAGCAGCCGCCCCTGGAGCCGCCCGCCACTGCAGCAGCCGCCCCTGGAGTCGCCCGCCACTGCAGCAGCCGCCCCTGGAGCCGCCCGCCACTGCAGCAGCCGCCCCTGGAGTCGCCCGCCACAGCAGCAGCCGCCCCTGGAGCAGCCGCCCCTGCAGCAGCCGCCCCTGGAGCCGCCCGCCACTGCAGCAGCCGCCCCTGGAGTCGCCCGCCACTGCAGCAGCCGCCCCTGGAGCCGCCCGCCGCTGCAGCAGCCGCCCCTGGCACCTGGAGCAGCCGCCCCTGCAGCAGCTGCCCCTGGCCCCTGGAGCAGCCGCCTCTGGACCTCTGCAGCAGCTGCCCGTGCTCTCTGCGCCCTCGTGCGCTCTGTCTCACCCGCGCCCTCGTGCGCTCTACTACTACCCGCGCCCTCGTGCGCTCTGCTGCTGCCCGCGCCCTCGTGCGCCCTGCTGCTGCCCGCGCCCTCGTGCGCCCTGCTGCTGCCCGCGCCCTCGTGCGCTCTACTGCTGCCCGCGCCCTCGTGCGCTCTGCTGCTGCCCGCGCCCTCGTGCGCCCTGCTGCTGCCCGCGCCCTCGTGCGCTCTACTACTACCCGCGCCCTCGTGCGCTCTACTACTACCCGCGCCCTCGTGCGCTCTGCTGCTGCCCGCGCCCTCGTGCGCCCTGCTGCTGCCCGCGCCCTCGTGCGCTCTACTACTACCCGCGCCCTCGTGCGCTCTACTACTACCCGCGCCCTCGTGCGCTCTGCTGCTGCCCGTGCTCTCGTGCGCCCTGCTGCTGCCCGCGCCCTCGTGCGCTCTACTACTACCCGCGCCCTCGTGCGCTCTACTACTACCCGCGCCCTCGTGCGCCCTGCTGCTGCCCGCGCCCTCGTGCGCTCTGTTCTGTTCTGCTGCCCCCCCGGCCCCCCCCCCCGTCCCCAGGACAGGAATGTGGGGGTGACAGGTATGGGGGTGCTCCGTGTGCGTCGTCCCTTCCTCCTCCTTCGTCTCCCACTGCTGCAGCTGCCGCTGAGGGGGGTGGAGGTGTGGGAGCCGAAGGGAGTGGCGCTAGGGGGGTGATGTGGGAGTGGAGCTAGAGGTGAAACAGGGGATGTGTGTAGGGGGGTGTGGGACAGTTGGAGGAGGCTGCAGCACCTGTAGTCCGGGGCGCACTGTCCTGGTAGCTCAGAGAGCCTGCTGCGCCTGTGTGTCTGCAGCTTCAGTCGTCGTCTCCAATCTTCTCTCCCTTCACAGTTCCTCCTCCTCCTCACTTGCCCTCTGTGATAGCCTCTAGCTTTGCTGATAATTGTGAACTTTTGATGTGACTGCTGATTGTGCTGATTACACCCCACTTTGACTATGGGGGTGTGTCAGATTATGTTATTTGTCTAGCCTGCAGTGGGGTGCTCAATAGTGAGTACAACCCCTTTAGGGTTTCCTATTTGTACCAACCTGCTTGCTAGTTCAATCATCCTCCATTCTCTCTTCTCCAATTCTCCTTCGTATACCCCAAACCCTAGCTCTAGGGCACAACCTACCTACTCTATGTGTGGGCCTAGGCTACTAAGCCTAGGCCCCACTCCTAGTATTCCTGACATTAGAGTGACCAATTCGGGCCTGAAAGTGTAGAAATTGGTCGGTCGATCGGAGTTTTGGAATTCGAAATAGTGCTGACGTGGAGCACGAGTGGTCGACCGATTTGACACAAATCCGAAAACTGTCGGGTTTGGTGATTTTTCCAGAGATCCGTCTAGCAGGATTGCGTCAGTGCACACAAAAGCAGTACAGGTAATGCTCGTTTGGCGCACCCTACTTTGCCTTGTGCTCTGGGCTTATAAGTGGTTTAGTCTATTCGCCTTGTTTTCACGGTTTCGCCGCAGCCATAAGGTGCTTTTAAAAAACACAGGAAGTTACATGTTTGTTTTTTCCCAAACAGTAACGGGCGGCCAGGTTTGTTGTATATAAGTTGCGCGGTTACCACTCTTTTCTCACATCCACTATAGCATGCGAGTACACAACTTCACCTAGCTTGTGACAAACACCAACCCCAACCCACAAACCAATGAAATCCACCCACTTGTACTCGTGCTATTTCCCCGTCATCAATTTCAGATCTATGCAATGTGCACAAGAAGTGCACACTGCACATGGGAGGAGATTCAAACTCCTCGTGAGGGGAATCCAACCCCTTCACAGGCGCATCCATTCGGCTGCTGCCGTGTAACCTCCCATGACGGCCGGCGCACCACCGTCAATCAGCTCCTGGCGGCGCGCCGCCTGCTGGGCAAGAGTCACCCACGATGGGGTGGGCTCCGTCATCCACGCGGGCAGGACGCGGCCCCGGCGACGAGGTGTCTCGGCCGGGGGCCTCGCGCACTCAGCCGCGGATGGCGGGGGGCTCATGTTGAGGTTAATCGGCGGGCTCTCGCGCTCCATCCGCGCCCTGATGATGGGGTTGCGGATGTCAAAGAGCGCGCACAGGTCGCGCGGGGTGATGCATGTCGCCTTCGCGTAGCCAATAAGCATCTCGGAGGCCGCTCGAGCGTAGCGCCGTGCCTCGCGGGACTCGGGGTTGCTGTCGTCATAGACAGCTTGCATGGTGGCGGGGGCCTCCCACGTCTTCGCCGAGGTCCCGCTCGTTGGCTCGGTCGCGAGCGGATCCTCTCCCGGCTCCGCGCATGTCGGCTGGTTGTCGTCGATGGCAACCAGTTCCGCGGCCGGCATGGCGCTCGTGCCGAGGCCGAGGCGATCGATGAGGATGCCTACGTCCCCGATCTCCTCGTCAAGCCCGATGTCCGCGGCCGTGCCCGCTCCGGCAGCGTCGTCGCCCACATGCGCAAGGTCCATTGCCCATGCACGCGGGAGGATGCCGGTGCGCCACCAGCACCTCTGAATGGTGTGGTGCTCGATATTCATCCACGCGTCGTTGAGCCAGGCCACGACGTCGCGGAGATTGGGCTTGAAGCGCGCCAAGCGGGTGGTTTCGCCATCGGCATTCCAGCGAGCAGTGAAGGCGCGGAGCCAATGCTGCCGGTACCGCGCCTTCGCCATCGCGATGAGCCCCTGCTCGAGAGGCTGGGTGAAGCAGGTGGTGTTGGGTGGGAGATACACCAGGTGGACGTTCGAGAGCGAGCGCGTGCGGAAGCCAAATAGATCATCGGATGTCGCACCGCGGGAGGTGAGGACATGGCTGCTCGCGTTGTCGAGCAGAATGACGATATGCCGATCCTCGGCATACATGGTGGCGTTCAGCTGCTCGATGAAGAGCGTGAAAAGCTGCCATGGGGGACGGGTGTGACAGTGGTGCTCGGTTTTAGTACACATTCAATTGAAACCGAGGCTAGAGTTTGCCCAAGGGAAAGAATCAGCTAAAAAAGACTCACCGGTGAGGTCATCCACCCCTTGGCGGTGTTGCGCCAGTAGCAAAACTCCTCTGGGTCGAATTCAAGGCGGAAGTCGTGGGGACGCTTCGCCTTGGAGATCACCAATGGGCGGAAGGAGAGGGTGCCGTCGGCATTGACGAGGAAGCCGACGATGAGGCGGTCTTTGACCTCCTTCCTCCCCGCCACCCGGCTGGCGCCGTACGTCTTGCGAGGCAGCACCGAAATGTAGATGGCGGTTTCGTCGAAGTTGTAGGTGTCGCGCGGTCTGACAGAGAGATGCATGAGGAGCTCTGGTAGTTTCTCCTGAGTCGTACGGACTGCGGCGAGGTCCTGGTCGGCCGCCTCGCCACACGCCACAATGCACCTTACACCCTGGCGGCGCAAGGCACGGCGGACCCATCCAATGGAGCAGAGGAAGGTCGGCGGCAGCGACATGCCGCGAGCCATGTTCGCGACATGCTCGCGGATCGTCGCAAGGGTCAGCGGCACACCAGCCGGACCTGCATTGGCGATCCAGCGCGCCATTGCGCGCTCGAGTTCAGGATGGGCTCCGCCGCGTACACGGACAAGGTTGTTGTCCGATGCCGGGCGTGCCCAACGCTCGGACGCCTTCAGCACGCGGCCAATCGTGCTGCGATCAGGCCTGATGCTGAAGCGGGTGAAGCACCAGCGACTGAGGTCGACGTGGCGCAGCTGGGGATTGGCGACATGGTGGGCGCATATCGACCGCTTGATATGGACAGCTAACTGGCTGCGGTGGTAGAGGCGAGGCATTCTGGGATAGGGGGCCAGATTGATTGACTGTCGTGGGAGAAAGCTAGTCTTTTTGAAGTGTTGTGGTGTGCTGGAGCGGGGGTACGACGGTGCATTTGCAAAGGGAATTTGGTGGACCCATTGTCAGGAAACACGCATGTAGGTGGCCTTGATTTGTGGTTAGATGGGGGGGTGTTACCACAACCACTATTTGTGACGTGTGCGTTTTGAACAACGCTTGGTCGTCATTGGGTTTGTACCGAGCAGGTGCATGGTACACGTCACACCGGTGCACCTCTCCTAAAATGTGTTATACGCACCATGAACCTCCCCACGTGGCACCCAGTCATGCGCGAAGTGACTTGCGACGTTGACGAAGTTTAAGCCTGTCATTTCGCGATGTTTGTCTCAGGCCAAGAAACACGGCAGACCCTGGTTGACTGGGTCTGTTTTATGCTACTGTTCAGGTGTTTTGGAGTTTACGAAACTACCGGCAAGTTGGTTGGGGGGCTTATACCTGGGGTGCAACCTCTAGGGCACGTCGTCAACACGGGCTGTGCATCTAATAGGTGCAGGGCAATTTCGCGTGCAGGAGGTGAGCATTACCTGTAGTTCGCATTTACCTGTAGCACCGAAAGCGCATAGTTCCTGCCATTAGGGTTTCCGTTAGTCTGTATATCATGCCTCGCGCATACTTTAACGATCTGTCCGACGACTTGCTCATCAAGATCTTATGGCGCTCCAAAGAGCAATTTCTTTCCCGCCAACCCGCAAACATTATTCATTCGTCGCGTTCCGCCTTCCCTAGGCCAAGGTATTCCTCCGAAAACCCTTATGGCGAAGAGCTCGACACCTCCGAAGGCTACTTGATACCGTTGTCGCTGCAGCGGGACTATAGTATAACAGTAATAGCACGACCATAGCTGCAGGTGGTAACCCGTTGACAGCTCCTGCCTCGCTCACAGACAAGGCCTACAATCTCCTCACCGCCTCCGTCTGCTCGCGCTGGCGTCGCCTGGCTCGCCGGCAAATCTCCATGCTCCTTGTGAAGAAGAACCGCGCCGTGTCGCTTGCAGATCTCACCGCGGCCGTCGCGTGCTTCCCAAACCTCTCCCACGTGCATCTGAGCGACAACAGTGTCGAAACCATCGACGACGCGTTCTTTTCTCACCTCGCGTCGTCATGCCCGAAGCTCGTGTCGCTCCACGTGGGGAAGGGAATTACGAAACTGTGGAACTGGGTGAACGAGGACTGGTATCCGGTGACCGAGGCTGGTTTGGACCATTTCATTCGTCGCCGCACGCAGCTGCAGCACCTCTCGCTCTACTGCCTGCATCCGTTCGGCCAGCTCCCCGCTTCCCTCTTGCACCTCGCGCACCTGCACACGCTTGCTCTCACCCACGCCTCACCTCTCGATGCTCCGGGATTCATGAGGTTGTCTTCTCTCACCGCTCTCACCGTTGATATTAAGGTGTAGGACAATTACAATTTCTCGAGCCTCGCGCGTCTTCCGGCCTTCACAACCCTCTCCTTATCCAACGAGACGAGGCTCCCACCAGTCAGAGGCATCGGCGCTCACCCTTTCTCACTTGCGCAGCTGCCGTCGCTGAAAGCGCTTGAGTTCTAACCCTGCAGCCCACCGTTCGACCTGATATTCCCGCCAGAGTCTTCCTTCAGCCATCTGGAGCGGCTGCTTCTTAAAGGCTGCGATGGGCTGGAGCGTCTCCTTGACGACTTGGGAGAGCGGCTGCCACGGCTTCGGGACCTCAGCATCTGCGAGTGCAAGAAGCTCTCCCAACTGCCTCCCCCTCTGCCTTTCGTCCCTCCCATAGTGCCTGTGCTGCAGACGTGTCAGCAGGCGTGGGGGAGGACGTTCTGAGGGGTGGCAGGTGGGAGCGATGTGTGCGTCGTATGCCCCGTGGCTCTCTCTCCCAACTGTTTCCCACGGCTCTGCCCCACGGCTCTGCGCCACGGCTCTGCCCCACGGCTCTGCTCCACGGCTCTGCCCCACGGCTCTGCCCCATGGCTCTGCCCCATGGCTCTGCCCCATGGCTCTGTCCCATGGCTCTGCCCTATGGCTCTGCCCCATGGCTCTGCCCCATGGCTCTGCCCCATGGCTCTGACATGACAGTTGACAGCCTTGTGGCTGAATTCAAGTGGAGAGAGCAAGTGAGCGATGGGGGAGAGGGGAAGTGAGCGACAGGGTTGGGAGTGATTGAGGAGAGAAACGGAGTGAGTGAAAGGGGTAGGACATTGAGTGAGTGAAGTGGGGAGCGAGGAGGCAGAGCCTCCCAGGTGTGGCAGAGGGAGTGAGAGCGAGTGCAGAACAGGGTGGTGGGTTGGCTGGAATTAAGCGTTTTTCCTCTGCATTCTTGCCCAGGGGGAATCCCCCTCTGCTCTCTCAGCAGGATTGAGCAGCAGCACGCTGTGATGGCTTTCCCATTCCATTTGACACACTGTAGCGGAAAAAGGGCTGGGTGGGAGCAGGTGTGGATGGGACAGGTGTGGGAGTGACATGCCTCAGCAGGGTCGGAGTGAGGCAGCCAAGGGGTGCAAGTGAGGAAGCGGAGAACAGCATGTGGGAGTGTGGGGATACGAGTGGGAGGAGATCGGAGTGGGCTGGGAATGCTTTTGTGCAGGTTTCATGGAATGCACACTTGAGGAGGAGCAAGCATGTCGCGATTGGAGTGCATCATCATCGCATCATGAGCATGATGGCATCATCACGTGCTCCACGTGACATCATTCTTCACGTGGCATTCCGCAACGGGTTGGGCGTACCGCTTTTGCTTCAGGCGCAAGTCTCACGGGCCGGGCCATGGCGATTAGGAGGGGGAAGCAGCTGGAGAAAAACGGGACGGCCAAGGGTGAGGCTGATGCTTGCTTGTGCATACCTCCGTCTGCCCCTGCCGTTGCCTTGCAGGGTTACTGTACTCCTTACTCCAGGCTGGGCCGCTCGCTTAGGTCGTGGTTCCTACCAGGGAGCGGCGGCTTTTGAGCGGGATGCAGCAAGGCAATGCGAGGCGAGAGGAGCTGAGTGGGATGCGACAGCACCGTCGCGCTGAATCAAACAACAGGCAGCTGCAGGGCCGCTTTGACGACTGGAGCAGGCTTCTCTCAATCCCTTCCTCAATCCGTCGCTGCCTGCTGAACATGCTCCATCCCTTTTCGCCATCACTAATCTGCGTTCTACTTCTGGCGCTAGTTTGCCGACCAGGCAGCAAGTGAGCGCTGTTGTCCCTCCCTGCTGTCACTGCTGGGCGTTGCTTTTAAGTGTGCCGTGCTATCAGCAGTTTTTTTTACCTCCACGCTCCTCACTCTGCAGATCGCCGCAACCTCCTTCGCCCTCCCCTCCTCACCTCTTCCCTTCCCCTTCCCACACAATCAGCTCCCTTCCTTGGTTGGATAGCTCCCACTGTTCCTTGTATGCTGGTCACGCAAGGTTTTACACTCCCTGAAGTGAGACATTTGACGCCACCATCGTGGGTGGGGAGAGAGAGTGAAGTGGCTGAAGCAGGGAGAGAGTGAAGCAGCTGATCACCCTCTTTGGTGACGTATGACACCATGAGAAACATTCTTTTCACACCCTTCCTCCATCCCCCCACCTCATCCCCCCAACCTCCCACTCTAGGCTCTACCCCCTATCCCTCATTTCTCCCAACCTCCTCGTATTCCCCCTATCTCCTCTCAGCTGATTGCCTCTCAGCTGACGACTCCCCAATGGGTAGGGATGGGGCACCGATGGCGTAAACGCGGAGGTGAGAGAAGCTGACTTGGATGCGACAAAATTGTCGCCCTATACCACCACCATAATGGCGGAGGAATGTGAATTGACTGCTGTTTTTTATCAGTCATGCTTCTCTCTGCCATCGCCATCCATTGTTGCTGGATCTGCATCCTTTTCTTCCCACTGTCGCCCATCCACCTAGTGTGCCGCTTCTGGTGCTGCTTTGCTGACGAGGTAGAATGAGTCTCCCATGTGAAATTTCACCATCAACTGTCCTCCACCTCCGCCCTCCTCGCTCTGCAGAACGCCCCTACTACCTTCTGCACTCCCTATCCCTCCCCACTCCCCTTCCTTCCCACGCCAGCAGTCGCTGTGAGGAGCCCAACCCATGGCTGTTGCACACAGCCTGGGCCACACAGCCATGGGCCCGACACACAGCCATGGGCCCGACACACAGCCATGGGCCCGACACACAGCCATGGGCCCGATACACAGCCATGGGCCCGACACACAGCCATGGGCCCGACACACAGCCATGGGCCCGACACACAGCCATGGGCCCGACACACAGCCATGGGCCCGACACACAGCCATGGGCCCGACACACAGCCATGGGCCCGACACACAGCCATGGGCCCGACACACAGCCATGGGCCCGATACACAGCCATGGGCCCGACACACAGCCATGGGCCCGACACACAGCCATGGGCCCGACACACAGCCATGGGCCCGACACACAGCCATGGGCCCGACACACAGCCATGGGCCCGACACACAGCCATGGGCCCGACACACAGCCATGGGCCCGACACACAGCCATGGGCCCGACACACAGCCATGGGCCCGACACACAGCCATGGGCCCGACACACAGCCATGGGCCCGACACACAGCCATGGGCCCGACACACAGCCATGGGCCCGACACACAGCCATGGGCCCGACACACAGCCATGGGCCCGACACACAGCCATGGGCCCGACACACAGCCATGGGCCCGACACACAGCCATGGGCCCGACACACAGCCATGGGCCCGACACACA